GAGAGAGAAAATGATTATCCGGGATCAAACCATGAAAGAGTGGTTTGGGGAGCAGGAGGCATCATTTTCACACTTGGATCATCAAGTCCATACTTTGACCCCTTTGAGAATCTTTGGGATGTGCTTCATCAGTGCAAGATCTTGGTGAGAAATTAACCTGACTGCGGATAGACTGAAGTGAAGCCAAAGCAAATGCATGGTGCCATCAAAGCTGGAGAAGATCCAAATTTCACTTTTCCCTTGTCCCCCCACAGTTTAAACACAAGGTGGCAGTGTTGCACTGATAGAAAACAAACCAACAGCAGAAGCGCCCCAGCTTAGATTCTACTTTACTCAAGTATTTCTATTTACTTAACTGTATTCTGCAATAAATGTTGTACTTTTGTACCTCCCTTGGTTTTATTTGGTAACATTCGTCTTTTTGATTCAAATTAAACCTTAAGATGTGTTAAAGGACTGATTTTAAAGCTCCATAGAGGGCTTCAGGTTTGCTGCAGAGCCTGCAACAAACTGTGCAGCTGGTTTGTTTTTAAGAACAGATGCTAAAAGACAGTAAAGAGACATGTCCTTCCTCCAGTGAACTCCTCCGTTAACCAGTCTCTGTAAAGTGTTTTAGACTCTGCTGGAGGATTTTAAATTGCTGCCATAAATTACTGTCCACGACCTCAATGCAGTGAATTAATGCACCGCATGTTTAATCTACAGTCTGTCAAGCTCCAAAAGACCATTTTATTCTATGACAAGGCTTAATCTGTTTCAGCCACAGGGGTCATTAGCTTATTCCTGGATGCTCGCACAATGACTTTTACTGCAAACGGGCTGAAAGCGAAATTACAAATGAGCCATGATGTTGTCAGAAGGAGCTGAGCACACGTGAAGGGTGAAGCAGTGAATGAAGATGTGTCCTCACGCAGTGTTGTTCCTGCACGCTTTTTCTGCACTTCACTGATCCTCTTCGTGCAGTCATGACTGTGCATTTAAAGCACCAAGAGCGATGGAAAGTAACTAAAAAGATTTCATTAAGTAGTGAATTTCCTCATTTTTTTTCCTGCATTTGAGTGTAATTTCATTTGTTTGATTACTAATATTTACATGGAAGGTAACTGCTAGTTCTTACTGCACTCACTGCATTAATCAGACATCCACTTAACAGCTTATCCACTTCAGGGTTGAGGGGACAATAGGAGCAGAGTAGCTACTCCTAGGACAGTCTATCACTGGGCCAAAATAAAAGCAATAAACGGATAATTTTATAATTATTAAAGATCGAGGAAGGACATTCAAAAACAATAGTTTCGATCAAAGTGCTTCACAAGTTAGGAAATAAATAAAATAAGACAAGTGATGTGCCCCTTTGAGCAAGCACTTGGCAACATTGGGAAGAAAAATTTCCCTTTTAACAGGAAGTAACCTCCAGTTCTGGGAGAGGGCAGCTATTTGAATTTGCTGGGGATTTATATCTTTGTCTTTCTCCTTTATTGACGGGGAAAGACGAGAAAATGCCAGAAGAAGGAAATGTCGAGATTGGGCAGAAAATGAAGCAAAACTGCAGTTCCTCTGGTGGCCAGCAGGGGCCGACTCCAAAGGCAAGTCAGTCCCTATTGACTCACTTGTTAAAATGTCCAAGTTAGAGCAGCAGAAATAAACTCAAGCTCACTGCTCATTTTCCCCTTCATATCTACTGTATGAGTGTTGGTTTCCTTTGTAACTCTTAGGATTATAGGTGTGTCAATGTAGTGTTCAAGTTCGCTTTATTTGTCATTCTAGTCATCTTAAAAGACAATGAGATGACATTATGTGTCTCACAGCCCAGGTAAGTGCAAAATTGAAAACCACCACCAAACAAGACAGAACAATCCATTAAAGAAACAGTTAAAGGTCATAAAGTGTAACCAGTACCTGATTTAAACAGTAATAAAATCGAGACATAAAATAATAAAATTAAAAAATAGACATAAAATTCTATAGATTTTTTTGGGGTCTTTTGGAGCATTTTTAATGGAATTATCTGAGAAATATTTTTGCTTGCTGTGTTGTTAAATCTGCCAACAGCTTCGCCTCAAAGCTTCTCTTTATGAAGCAGAGGTCTTTATTAGCAGGTGTCTGCTGCAGCCGTACAGTTCATGGATGCAGCATGCTAACCAAGCCAGTATAAAGGACGGCCATGGCTACTGTTATGCCACCCATTGGTTAATGAGCTCAGCCACGAGTTTTCACCATGACTGTCCCGGTGTTTTTAACTCACACATGATGGAATGGAAAGCGAGTAAAAGCCCTGAGAGTTACTGGACAATTCAAGGTTTGAAAACCATACATTTCACACCTGAGCCCCAACTCTCGCGGCCCGGTACCAAACAACTCACAGACCGGTACCGGTCCGAGGCCCGGGGGTTGGGGACCGCTGTTCTAAGTGATAAAGAAATGCCTCTGTAGTAAATTAAAGTAATCTGTCAGTATGACTTTTGGGGCTTAAATTCTGAGAAGTTTGTGTATAAAATGAAAGAAATCTATCATTTAATTACTTTGGTGCATCGTTAATGGGAAAAGTAGGAAAAGCCCCCGAGCCTTATGCCCTTTAGCCTTAACCCATGCCTGGCGACAGGTTTCTGTAACGTTTCTTTAAACTACCATAACTCTTGAACAGTTTGTGCAATGTAAAAAAATTCCAACAGATCCTGAAAACAGTGACTCTGCACTTTTCAGGGATATTAGAGGCATTATGGTAATCCCAAGCACCGCGTCACAGTGGCCCCGGGAAGATGAATGTGGAGAGAGAGCATTTTATCAGACATTTTGGTATTTTTTTTGTCATTTTTTTAATATTCTTTTATTCTTTCTCTGTTTTTAGCGTTTCATGCCATGTTTTTGTTTTTTAATTCCATATATGAAATGTCACCATTAGCAAACATACACTACCCAGCCCTCTTCCAACCCCTGAAAAAGCAGGGCTTTGGGGGATTGTAGAGCAGAGTGGGTTTATGATCCACTCAGGAAAAATAAAGGTGAGCACAAGTGTCAGCAGTCCAGCGCAGGCCTTCGCCTACAGCTTGGCAGGAACTGTTTTTTGGAGCTCTACCAGGGGGATTTTTTATCAGTCTATTATTCATGTAAGTTCTGAGGGTCTTATTCCGTAAAAACGGTAACATTTTAATTTTGTTTATGTTCTTAATCGCTGATTACACTCTTATAGTATACAGCAAAACATATAGAGCAAAACAACTTCCAGATGTTGAAAGAAGTAATTGTCCTGAAAAAAGAGACCAAATCTCATGCTCTCAGCTGATTTTTTTTAATGACAGTTTTACAGCTAAAACAAAACCATTCCAGGCGGCCTGCTTAAGATGATCGGGGTTAGCAGTTTGCTGATGTCACAGAGTGAAGAAGCTGAGGGCTGCCCCCTGCTGGTCACTGGTGGCCAGGAAACTGTTTACATCTTCAGTTGCTAATGAAACAGCTTCAGCTCTCCACCCAAATATGGTCACTTCTGGTTTCAAGAAGCCGACACATCTGCAGCTGAGATGCACTCCAGAAATACAGCACTGAGGTCAGTGTGGCTAAAGACTGAATATTTTTTCTACCTGTTAATACTGTAGGAAACTTCAGAATGCTTCATCCACTGCCGCAAAGATCATGATAAACCTAACAAAGAGGAAATAATCTGGATTATTTAGACTAAAGTAGCTGAATGACACACTGGGTTATGCATGAGTCACATGCCGAGAATCTGCGCTGGATGCAGGTAAAGTTAAGAAACCGCTCTCACACTAAACCGACTTTGAGGAAAACCTTCGCCCTTAGCTGTGTTGGTAACGCTGATGCCACATCTACCTCAGATCTGGCTGATGACGTCTCTGCCTGCAGCTGGGGCACAAAGGGGCCCTGCTGAGCGAAGAAGCTGTAATTTCAGAGCCTGCAAATACTTCACAGGAAATGATTGTGGTAAGCCAAGGAAATGACACCAACTCTGCAGCTCTCCTCTGTAACTTATAACGCGAGAGCCGGGCTTTGCTCTCTGCTCCTGTCGTTGGCTGCAGGTACTGCACGCCCCCTCTTTGATGACCTTTCACCCCGTTTGCTCGCCCACAGTTTGATCGCTCTTCTCCTGCACATTTCCATCTCGGCGGCCCAAACACCTGTTTGCTGTTTCTCAGCTCGGCCAGACGATATCTCATTCGGGATCGTGGAGACGTCTGCCCCGGGGAGCTGATGGAAGTGCAGCTTCTGCTCGCTCGTCTCTGCAGCACCTTACGTTGTTGTGCAACTGCAGTGAACCAGAGACAGTCATTTATAAGATGTCTGGCTCGCTGCCTCTGGTCACAGAAGCCGCCGCCGCTGCTGCTGCTGCGTCCAGGACTGTGTGTTCTGGCCTGAGTGGATGAATTAGAGCTGCCAAGACCAAAATAACTCATTGATTCACTGAGCTCTCCCTGGGTCTGAAGCATTAACATCACCCAGAAGCTATTTCTCTCACTTGTTTGGAGCCGCAAGTCGTCCAGAGGTACCATTATCCAAGCCCGGCGAAGGCAAAACGACTAAACAAAGAAAGCTGTGGAAGCTAAAAGAGTTCTTACATTTTTAATTTCACGTAATAGACTATTTTTAAAAATATATGAAAATGTAATTACTTTTTTTTTTTAATATAACAAACACCAATCTGCCAAGAGATTAAAAGCACAGGTGAAGTGCATAATTCATCTTCTGTTACAATTCAAAGGTATGCTACGGAAGAGGATAAGGGCCACTGGAAAAAAAAAA